TAGTCCTTGTGATTCAGGTTTGCCACATGAAAAAAAAAATTCAGAAAGTTGCTTAGTTTTAGCACAGCCTGATTCTATTTATTTTCAAATCCACTTTCGTAACTGTTGATACTTAGACCCTTCTCTAAGGCATTTAACTATTCTGAGCCTTAGCATCATTATCTGTAAATGAAAATAGTACTAGCTGGCTTATTTTTTTTAGAAACAAATGAAATGGCATATGTGAAGATATCCTGAAATATACATACATATATCATAACTGTGAGAAGTCAGATTTGTTGCTTGCTCAAGCATGTCCTAGACCAAAAGCAATTAAAATAGCTTTGCCTAATGTTTACAGGCTTACTTTTTGTCTGAATATTCTGGAGGGAAAATAAAAGTGGCAGTGTGAGGTATTAAACACATTTGATTTTGTTTACACCATTGAATCTATCCTATTGAGAGTTTCATGAAATAGGAACATGACTGAATATATAGAAAATTTTTATGTATTAGTTACATGAGCACTGAGTTTGGTAGTAGTAAATTTAGAAAATTTGGTAGTAGAAAATTAATTCCATTAATTAGACTACTCTGATTAGTTACTGTACTTCAAAAATAGCTAATAGTGCGGGTACCATTTCCTCTTTGTTGGTCAAGATTATACTGATTGCGATTCAGAAGCCTCATAATAGAGTGGTAGTCACCAGTGATAGTGAATTTCTACACCTGTGTGCCAAGCATTGACTTCCTATTTTCTAATACAAAATGTAATCTTGTATAGTTTCTCAGAGTACAGCTATAGCAATCTGTCTGTATCTATCATATATGTATATAAAGCCAGTTAAAGTTGGTACTTAAATCTGGAAGTGAGTGCTAAATTTGGAAGTGAGTTTGTTGTTAGTTGAAATTTACTCTTGAAAGAAAATTTTTGCATAAGATGTTTTCCAGCTTCACAAAAGAATAATATATAACAATACATTTTCAAAATACTTTCTCAATTTACCTTCATTTTCTTTTTAAAAAGCAGGTAGTACAGCTCTCATTTTTAAATGAGGAAATGGTCAAATGAGAGAAAGCTGCCTAAAGGAGCTGAATTTATGTGTGATGGGAAATCCAGTGTTCTCACTGTGTGTAATTGTATTCCTAAAGGGTTAGGTTATTTTATGCAGTTTGCTTACTCAGTTTTGCCTTTTTCTCTTTTTGTATTCATAGACTGGAAAAGTAAGAAGAGCTTTCCTGCCTTTTTAATTACCAAACTACTCTGTTTTCAATGAATCAGTTCAAAGAAAGAATGCAGTCTTTCTATACCTGGTAAATATTTTCTGCTAAATAAAGCTGTTAATTTAGAATCCATGATAAATCCAGGTGTTATGATGATTACCTTTTATTTTGTGAAATGACTATTTAAATGACTTATTAAATATATATATTTTTCACTTTTAACTCTGAAATTTGTTTGATACTTATTGATATGATAGACTGATGCTTGGGATGCCTATGACCTTGCCAGCAATGCAGAATACTCTAGGGTTGGCCATAGTACTTAGTATATCATCTTTTTCTGTGGTTATTAAATGTATGTTGGCAAATACATGTGTGGTAGTTGAATAGAAGCACTTTGTAAATAATAGTTTTATAAAATTAATATAGTAATTAGATTATTACCTATATTTTACCAATGTCCTAAGCACAGAAGCCAAGTAACTTACTTTAAGAACTTCAGCTAGCTACTGTAGAATTGAGATCACACTCTAGATCAGAATCTGTTTTTATTTTTATTTTCAGATACCATCAGTATAAATTAATCTGTTTAAAAGAAAAAATAATTTAAAAGAACAAATGTCATAGTGACATTTCATACAGAGTTTCCTTTTCTTGTAACTTAAAATATTAATGAAGAAACAGAAGACAGAATGACTATGCTACATAAAATGTTGTATTTAGTTAATATCACCTTTAACAATTATTTAACTAGTATCTGCCTTTGAAACTTTTATACATCTCATTTTATTTAAACCTAGAAGAACCTTTGAGGTTATTATTGTGACATTTTTGCAGATAACAAAACTAGCTTGAGGATAGTTATGTACTATAGGATGCTTGCCGTGGGGATTTAAACTTACTTCTGTCTGATTTCTTTTTTATTTTTATTAGAACATGTTTGCAGTATATAATGATTATATTCATGTTAGGAATTGGTACATGTACATAACATATCTCAATTTTTTTGCCTTCTTCCCTCCACCCCTCTTTTTTGGCAGCATCATATTCTTTTCTCTTATAAATCCTTATAAAGTTAATTATCCTACTTACATAGTAAGAGCCAGATTAACAGGCCAAAAACCCTATAAGGTACATAAGACAATTATACTCAATCAAGGTATAGTTTTAAATACATTGTTCTCACTGGATTACAGTAACTTTTCTCTCATTTCCCATTATCTGTCTTTTATTTTGTACTTTATGCATTGAGTTTCTCAAACAAGAGACCATGTGATAGTTAACGTGTGTGTCTGATTTACTTCAGTTAACATTATGGTCTCAAGATGCATCTATTTTTCTACAAATTACTCGTTGATCTTTTATGGAAAAGTATATACACACCATGTGTGTAAATACTGTATTTTCTTTATCCATTTATTGTTTGAAGAGCATATAGGCCGCTTCTAAAAATGTACCTATTATGAATTGTGCTGCTATAAACATCACTGTACTGTGTCTTTAACTCTTTGGGGAAGATATCTAGAAGGAGAAAACTGGGTCAAATGGAATTTCTACTTACATTTTTTTGAGGAATCTCCATGCTGATTTCCATAGTGATTGTACAGTTTATATTCCCACCAACATGAAAAACACCTTCCCTTCACAGCCTCTCCAGCACTTATTATCTGATTTCTTGATGATAGCCATTCTTTCTGAAGGGAGAAGGAATTCTAGTGTTCTGTTTGCATTTCTGGAGTGGCCAACAATATTGAACTTTTTGTGTGTATTTATTGGCCATTTGTACTTAACCTGAAAAAGTGTTTATTCATTTCAGGTGCCCATTTTTTGATTGGGCTTTAATTTTTTCTGAAATTTAATTTAAAACTTAAACTTTTTTTCGTGTATTCTAGGTACTAGTCCTTTGAGGAATAACTGGTGCAATGTTTTCATATTCTGAAGGTTGTCTCTTCACCCTGTTGGGGCTTCCTTTGCTGTGCTGAAATTTTTTAATTTGATATGACCCATTTGTTGATGCTCAGGTTCTGTTCAGAAAGTCTGCCTATATCTGTCTTCAGGTTTTACCTATTTTTCCTCCAGCAGATTTAGTGTTTGTGTTTCAGTGATCCATTTTGATTTTAGCTTAGTGCATCGTGATATGGATCAAGCTCTGTCTTTGGCACATAGCTAGCTAGTTTTCCCAGCACTAACTTTTCCTCCAGCAAAAAATATTTGGCTGTAAGGTAGCTTAATGTGCTGTGCGTGGTGTTGTTTCTGCATCCTCTGTTTTATTTAATTGATCCACAAGTCTTGTATGTTTAATGTTTTACATTTTTTGTTGTCATTGTTGTTTTTGTTGGTTTTGTTTTGTCAGTACCATGCTGGGTGTTTTGTTTTGTTATTTTGTTCTTTTTGTTTGTTTGTTTGTTTTTTGTCTTTTTCCTTTTTATCGGTACCAGGAATCGAACTCACGACTGCCTGCTTGCAAGGCAGGCACTTATGCCTCTGAGCTAAATCCCCAGCCCCCTGTTATTTTGTTTTTTAATCACTGTAGCTTAGTAGTAAAACTTGAAGTTCAGGATTATAATGCCCCTGCCTTGTCCTTGTTTCCTAGAATTGCTTTTGCTATTCTAGACCTCTTCTGGTTCCATATGAATTTTAGGATTGCTTTTTCTAATTCTGTGAGGAGTACTATTGGTATTTGATTGGGATTATAATTTTGAAAGTATGGTCATTTTGATTATATTGGTTCTGCCTATCCAGAAGTGGGATATATTTCCATTTGTTCTCCTTTTTCAGAGTACTGCAGTTTTATTGTAGAGGTCTTTTGCTTCCATTGTTAGGTTAATTCCTAAGTATTTAATTTTTCATGCTGCTATCATGAAAGATACTGTTTCTCTAATTTCTCTGGTTGAGTTTGTTACTAGTATACAGAAATGCTATTGTCTGTTGGTTTGTCATAAAGGACTATTATCAGATTGAGATATAGACCTATTCCTACTTTCTTCAGAATGTTTATTGTGACTGAAGTTGGATTTTGTCAAATGCTTTTTTCTTTGTCTATTAATATAATCATGTGATTTTTGTCTTTGCTTTTGTTTATGTGGTATATGTTTTCTGATTTGTGTATGTTGAACCATCCCAGCATCCCTAAAATGAATTCTGATCAGTCATGATGTATGATCTTTTTGATGATTTGCTACATTGTATTTACCAGTATTTTTTTTTAACATTCTCACATCTGTGTTCATTAAAGAGATTAACCTGTAGTTCTCTTTCTTGGTTGAGTTCTTTTCTAGTTTTGTAATCTGATTGATTGGTTGCCCCCAGGAATGATTTTGAGAGTACTGCTTTTCTTTTGATTTCATTAAAAAGTATGAGGGATATTGGCAGTAGATCTTCTCTAAAGTTCTTGTATAATTTGGTACTAAATCTGTCAGTACCTGGGCTTTTCTTTATTGGTAGTTTCTTTTCCTAATTATTTCTTCAGTTACATTGACTGATACTGTATTATTCAGAATTTTTATATCTTCTTGTTCAACTTTTGTTTTATATGTATATGTCTAGGAATGTGTCTATTTTTTATGAATTTTCCATTTTATTATATTAAATATAGGTTCTCAAAGTATTTACTAATGATCTGAATTTTTAAGAAATTCAGTTTGATTTTACCTTTTTCATTTCTAATTGCATGTATTTGGTCTTTCCTTATTTTGGTAACATTGGTGAAGGATTTGTCTATTTTGTTTATCTGACTTTAAAGAACCAACTCTTCTGTTCACTGATTCTTTTTATTTATTTTTTTTAAACCTCAATTTCATTAATTTTTGCTCTGATCTTTATAGTGTTCTTCCTCCTAATAACTTTGGATTTGTATTGTTCTTGTTTTTAGGACCCTGCAGTGTGTCTTTAGGTTATTTATTGAGCTCACTGTTTTATGATGTGGAAAATTACTGCAATATACTTACCTCTTAGGACTGCTTTCATTGTGTCCTATAAGTGTTAGTATGTTGTGTCATCATTCGATTGTAGGAATTATCTGATTTCTTCATTAATTTCATCTGTGACTATTGATCATTCAAGAGAGAATTACTTAATTTTCTTGTGTTTGCTTACAGTTTTTTGCCATTGATTTCTAGTTTTCATTGCAGTATGATCTGATAATATGGATGAGATAATTTCAGTTCTTTTGCATTTATTTAAACATGTTTTTTGAGCTAATATGTGGTCTATTTTAAAGAAAGTCCCATGTGCTGCTGAGGACAATGTGTAGTGTGTTGTGTTTGGATTGAATATTCTGTAGATATCTATTAAGTTCATTTGTTCATATGTTTGGTTCAACTCTGATATTTCTGTTGTTTTTGATAAGGACATCAGGAATTGAACTTATGACCTCCCACTTGCCAGGCAGGCACTGTGTCGCTGAGCCACCAGCCCAAGGTCCTACCATGTATTGGTGTTCATCTGATTTTTCACATCCACTAGAATTTGTATTATGAAGTTGGGTGTGCTGGTATTTGGTGCATATATGCTTATAATTGTAACCTCTTTCTGTTGAATTGTTTCCTTAATCTACTGATGGTGAAGCTTTTAGAGACCAAGTGCCCAAACTGAGCCAAAACCCCACTTAACTATTGCAGAGTTAACACTACAATTAAGCCCTGCATACTGAGGTTTTAGTTTAAACAACTATTATCTGATGTTCATTTGCTGGGGTGACCTACATGCCAACAAAGAAGGCTTTGCCTACCCTTTGGGGCACACATGCTTATAGGCCTACCACTACTACCTTAACCTATATGTAGTGACTTTTTCTCTTCTACTTGGTGTTGGCTTGAAATCTACTTTGTCTGAAATTAGGCTTTGTCCTATTTTTTTTCCAGACTGCCATTGCATGAAATACAGTGGTTCCTTGGTTCACAAATTCAATTCTGTCCATAATTCTGGTCGCAAACTGAACTGTGGACAAGAACCAAATCAAATTTTCCCATAAGGTCAACATCTAACTTGAACATGGAATTTAATTCAGTTCTTGCCCAACTTGATTTGCAACCAGAATCATAGAATCAAGTTTGTCTGCATTATTTTTTATCCTTTGTTTTTTAATTTGTGAGTTCCTTTTTAAATGTATACTACATGTCGTTGGGTTTTGTTTGTTGATCCATTCTGCCAGTCTGTCTTTTGACTGGGGAAGTGAGACCATTCACATTGAGAATTATTACCTATTCCTGTTATTGCATTATTTTCCAGTTGCTAACTTATCCACCCCACCCTTTTTACTTAGCTGCTCACCCACCATGCACACTAGTACCTTGGTTTACAAACTTAATTTATTTTACAATTTTGGGGAAATGGTTGTATTTGTTTGGGAAGATGGCTGTGGTTGTATTTGTCACTCAATGCAGAGTTTGTAAATGGAAGCAAAATTTTGCCAAATACTTTTGTTTGTGAACTTAATTGTTTGCAAACAGAAACATTCACGCACCAAGATAATACTGTATATTTTTTTTTTTTTTGGCATTATTGACTTCATTGTGTCTTTCTAGACTATTAAGAATTTTTGTAACTCTGGTAGAATGGCCATGCATTTCTTGAGGTTCTCAATGAATACCTCATTTCTCTATCAAGTTTGAAGGATAGTTTTGCAGGATACATAAGTTGGGCTGGGGAGTTATCTTTTAGGGCTTAAAACATTGCAGTCCTCCTGGCCTTAAGGTATGCTAGAAAAATCTGCTGTAATTCTAGTGGGTTTACCTTTATTTGTGATTCATTCCCTTTCTCTAACAACTTTAAAGATTTTGTCCCTGTGATAGACTTCTGGTACTTTGAGTGTAATGTGACTCAGAGAGTTTCTGTTTTGTTGTGGCTGTTGGATGTCTATATGCCTCAATTAGCTGTACATATACTTCTTTATATTTGGGGAGTTTTATGCCATTCTTTCTGTGAACAGGTATTTTTTGCCGTTTTTGTTATCCTCTGATTTTTCACTTATTCTAGTTCTTAATCTTTGCATCATCTCACAGCTCTTGGATCCATCTTTCATGTTCTCTTAAAATATCTTTGAATAGTTGGTCTTTGAAAGCATCCTCTTCTAGTTCTGAAATTCTGTCCTCACACTGGTTACTTCTACTGCGTATAGTTTCAGTATTGTTTTTTTGTTTGTCTGTTTTTAAGACAGAGTCTCATTATATAGTTCAGGATGACCTTGAATTCACCCTGTAGTCCAGGCAAGCCCCAAACTCATGGCAATTCTACTACCTCAGTCTTCTGGGTGCTGAAATTACAGGTGTACACTGCTGTGCCCAACTCCATATGACCTTTGATCTCTTGAATTTCTGACTAAAACCTTTGCATGAACTCTTAATTCTTTGGCCAACTGGTCATTGTTTTGTGTAGCTAACCTAGCTTTTTGTTAGTGTCTTCTGAAAGCTCCCACATTGTTTTAGTTATTATTCCCATTAACTATTTAGTTATATCTTCTCTGATTCCTCTGAGTACCTCTAATTTGTTTTCTAACCTCTGTTACCCTTTTTGAATAATTCAGGTGTGTGGCTTTGGCTAGTCTGATTATTAGTGCTCCCTGGGTTGGCTTCTGGGAGTTGGGAGTTATGGGAAGTATTTTGTTCCCTTACCTTCTCATGCTTCTATTATTTTGTTTTGTGCTGAGGTTTATGAATGCATATAATCTAGAGCAGTGGTGAACCTGTGGCATGCCTGCCATTGTGAGCTGTTTTTATTATTGAAAGTTCAAAGGTTCACCATCACTGATTTAGAGATTTTTATTGCTAGTATAGAAATCTCTTGAGCTGCTTTTCAGAGATGTGCTATGGGCCTGGTGAACTGTATGTATTCATTTGCCACAGGTCCACAATCTGATCATCTTGGTTGTTTTGAAAAGGGAAGATGCAGTATACACAGCCAAACAACTAAGTTTTCTGGGAATGTATTCTAGTATTGTTAATGTCACAAAGGTAATTTGAGTGCTGGCTTGCAGAGATATAGTGATAGTTATGCAACCCTGATAGTATCAAGTGAATCAACTACAGTAGTATCATCCGAGACAAATTAGATATTAATGTACCATAGTTATGCTACCGTTAATCTGAGAGAAGAAATTGCCAATTGTACTGTAACCATTATGACAACCTAGGTATTAATTTACTACTAATATATACTAACGGTGACAGCTGTCTCTTCTAAAAATATTCAACAGTAATTTTACAGAGTTAACTGTCAAAAGATTAACAATACTTTATTGTTATACTGTTAAAGATACAAGATTTGGGAATGGGGGACTGCAAGAGGAAAGTTTTGAAACTGTAAACTCTGTAGTAGGAGAGAGAAGTAGTACAGAGGATCTTACTGAGAAGTAAATGGATATTTATAAAATTAGGTAAATGAAAGAGAAAAACTGATGACAAATAGAACATAAAAGAAAAAAGAGGGAGAAAAAGCACAAAAGTTATTATAGAAAGTAAAAATGGGAGAAAAAATTTGAAAAAAGAGAAAGATAAAGCAAGGAAGAAGAACCAAGAGAAATTTCCAAGCCTCAAAGTCTAGTGAAGAAGAAAGAAAAAAAGAGAAACAAAACAAAATAAAACAAAAAAAAACATGAAAGTGCACATGCTCACTCACCTCATCTCTCTCTCTCTCTCTCTCTCTCTCTCTCTCTCTCTCTCTCACACACACACACACACACACACACACACACACAGAAACAAAGAAATTTCTGTGTGATTTCGAATATCTGGTTTTCTTCTGGGTTCTATTTTAGAGCAATGCCCAAGTCATGACATTTCCCTGTTCATGCTGATAAATAAAGAAGTCAGTTAGATCCCAGACCTGTGCTTGACACAGACACCAGTTAACAGTAAAATGTGGATAAGGTTGCAGATTTTGAGAGTTGAAAATCTAGAACAATTCAGGTTCAGCCTCTTTATCTTAAAACCCTCAGAAGGTAATCTTGCTGGTCTAACCACTGCTGTTACCCATGAAAGTCCTCACACATTCACTGTGGGAGCATAGCTCACTGGAAGCCCTGCACTGACGCAGTCCCACTGCTGCTCTTAGACTCATCAGGTTCAGTCAGCCTCTCCCTGGTATGCCACCTGACTAGCCATGTGTCTAGGGGGTGAGCACTTCTGCAGGGGTCACTAACCAGGTGGTTGTAACTCACAGCATCCATGGATCTGGTTCATCCCTTTTTCTCCCCGAAGCTCTCTGGAATCCCCGCTTTCACTTGTCTCTGTAGATTTGATTTTATTTTAGGAGCCAGGAGCTGGGGAGAAATTGCAGATTGTCTCATCTTCCTTTTTCTGAATTGTGTTTTGTCCCTTCAGTTTCTCTGTAGATAGTAACTTTTTGTCAGATCAATCCTGCTTTCCATGTGGGATCTTTTTGCTTCTTACTTTCCTTCCCCAGGTTGTTGTTTCCCAGCATCTGGATTCTAAATATCCCAGAGTTTGAGTTATTTTTGCTTGTCAATCTACCATTTTCCTCTCATTTCAAAGTATATTACTATGAAGCCTTCTTTAGTTTTGGAATTAAAGTTTGTATGGTAACAAGTCCAGACTATCCTATATTAACCAGTACTGATTAGAGAATCATTTACTCTGTTAATTCATTCTTCCAAAAATCTGAGCATTTGGGGGATACAGTCAATCTAGAACAGATGAGGTAGTACTGAGAAACCATTATCTGCCTGTAATGATTTTAACTATAGAAATCTTCTGCTATTTTATAATATAACTAATGGTATAGGTTTTATACTCCTTTAGAAACATTTATAAACTGCTTGTACATTACAAACATGCTTACAGTAAGATAAATTAACGAGAAAAACCTGAGATATTAGTATGACTAAATATTTCTATCCAAGTACGCTTTTTATAGTTGATCATCAAGCAAGAATTATTTTCCTAAAAAATTTTTTTAAATAGACCTTTCAGATTACTTACCTGGTGTCTTAGTTACTTTTTACTCGTTGCTGAGACAAAATACCTGAAGCCCAAGTTGGGAAAGGAAAGGTTTATTTCTTACAGTTTTTGGAAGTTTCAGTCCACAGTCAGTTGGCTCCAAGACAGGTGGGCATGACTGGGCTGCAGTTCATGGCGGCTACAAACAGCAAACAGGAACCAGCAAAGAGCAAGACACACCTTCTTCCTGCCATTACATCACATCCTGGCTCCACCCCTATGTGGGTGTAGCACTGACACCATCAATCCAAGTACTAGACAATGAACCAATCACAAATGCACAATGAAAACTCATGAGGCCTGGGAGCCACAGACATAAACCATGACACCTGGCTAGAGCTGTATCAAAAAAAATTTTTTGAGTTTTTTAAAAGTAAGACCCATACTTATGGTTCTTAAGGAATTTTATTTAAAGATTAAACATGAGGAAAAAGAAGACAACATCTACTTCAGATATATCCATGTAGCCCTGAGACTTTGTTTTTAACATGTGCAGTGAAGTTGACTTTCTTTTCTGGCTTATATATTGAAAGTCAGTTTAAAAATCATAGAAATACTCGAGCATCAATTTAAAGTTTTTCCTGTATTTCCTGATTATTTTCAAGATAACATTCTCATTTTAAGCATAACATTCGGAGACAATATAATATCTCTACTTTCAAATTAAGGTTCAGATGTTTTTGGTTTCCCAGGAATGTCATTAACAGTACCACAAACAACAGAAATTTATTGTCTCACAGTTCTGGAGTCTAGAGGTTGAGTATAAGGTATTAACTTTCCTTGAGGATTGTGAGGGAAAGTCTGTTATGCCTCTCTTCTCGTATTGCCACTGAATCTTGTCCTTGTATTCAGATTTCTTTTTACAAAGACAACTTGGTCATATTGGATCAGGGTCCACACTAATGACCTCATTTTAATGTGATCATGGGAAAGGCCCTAGTTCTAAGTCTGGTCACATTTATAGGTTACCAGGGGTTTGGACTGGGACATCTTTGGGGGATGCAGTCAATCGAGAACAGATAATAAGTCCTTGCTCAGTACTTCTGAGCAAAAAAGGAAAGTTAGACACAACACATTGTAGTGCTAGTAAAATGGTAGTTTTAGAAGAATGTGACAGTATAGCTGGAATACTACATTTAAAATTCATTTCCTAGTATTGCTTTATAGCTGGGGAAATTTTAATTAAAATTAACTGAGTGTCTAAAGTATTTAATAGAATTCAGTGTTGTAGTTTCAATCTTTCTTTCTTCAGGTACTAAGTTATGCTAGCATCTATGGAAAGTTTAAGATTCTATGCATTAGAAGCCAGATGTAGTATTGCATCCCTGTACTGTAATCCCAGCACTCAGGAGGCTGAGATGGGAGGATCATTGGAAGTTCCAGGCCAGCCTGGGCCACAAAGTGAGTGTAAGGCCAGTCTGAACTGCATTGTGAGACCTGTCGCAGAAAACAAAACAAAACAAAAACACCTCAATGTTTTAATGCTTTAAATTTAAACTTCTGCCTGACAAGTGGCCCATGCTTGAAATTCTAGCTACTGGAATGACTGAAACAAGAAGGGATTGCAAGTTTAAGACTAGTGTGGACAACTCTAACAAAATCTCACCTCAAAATACAAAACTAGAAACAGAAGGCTGTGAATATTGTTCAGCGGTGGAGTATCTCTGGTTATAGCCCCAAAACTGCAAGGTAACCACACACACACAAACCAAACTTAAATTAATGAAACATAGAACTTTAAAATGTGAATTCTCTTTTTTAAGATCTTGAGATGTCCATTAGAATATTTTTAAATTGTTGTAAGTGTATTCTTGACAGTAAATTACATATGTACTCATAATTTGTTAAGAATTGTGGTATCGCCAGTGTTACTGTATGCCTGAAGCATGGATAATGGCAAAGCAACACTAGTAAAACAACAGCAGCAAAAATGAAAAATGCTATATGATAATTTGATTTATTTTTTCTTTATTTGCTATTTTTTCTACTTATTTTAAAATAATTTCAAACCATAGAAAAGTTGAGATAGTGTAAATAACCTGTCCCAGAATATTAGAGTAGCTAATTTGATGTTCCATTATGCTGAAGTACTTTCATATGTAATTCCTATAAATAGAAACTTTTTTCTAGATAGCTATAATAAAAACATGAAACTCAAGAAATTAACAGTGGTAGATTACTAATAGCCTCAATTAATCCATAGGCTATCCAGATTTTGCCAAAACGTCCTTTATACCACAGTAAGCAACCTAGGATCCCAGAAAGCTTTACTGTTCATGAATCTAGAATAGTCCTTGGTTTCAGGACTCTTAACAGTTTAGAAGAACACATTTTATAGAATGTCTTTGAATTTGGTTTTTACTGATGGTTCTGAGTTAAGTATGCTCAGCAGTTCCTATGATGCTGAATTCCTCACCTTTCAGGTGGTACAATTTTGGTTTCCCTCTCAACTAGTGATGTTAACTTTGATCACCTGATTAAGGCAATGTTCACCAAAGTTCTCTTACTGTAACCTTTGTTTGTAATTAATATATATTTTGTCAGAACCCAAAAATACACAAAAAATGATTGCAGCACTGTGATACAAAACAATAAAGAAGATGCACAGTATCTAAAAAACCTTCCTGACTGGTATGAGACAAGAAAGGAGGGTTATTTATTGTGTAGGATGACTTTCACTGTCACTGACTACATCACTGCTGTCAATTGGCTCAAGGGAATTTCCTTCTTTTGCAACTTTGACAAGGTACCTATCTAGTGACTCTTGCTTTTGCCTCATTTTGGGGATTTTGTGGAAATGTGACACTGCATACAATCCTGCAGTGGGGGATTGGCCCAGTTGTGATCGTATGCCATATTTTGACATTACATACTACTCGCATTACAAAACATCACTCATTTATCAAGTTAAAATTTAGAAGTACTTGTTCATCTTGCAAAATACTTGCAGAACAAGTTACAATCCAGGGTTTTACTGTGTATATTTTTTTCTCTATTTGACATTCTGTAAGGAAAATCTTACTCTTCTTGTTACAGTATTTATTTATGTCATCTTGTATTTGTGAATTCCTATGAGTGATAGCAATGATTCATTTCATTATTACTTTTATTTGCCTGTTATACAAAATTTGGTGAAACCTCTTTGAGCTAGCTTCTGTGTCTTTCCTCCTTATATTCCCATAATCATTTTTCCTTGATTTTTAACACAATTAGCTTCTTTTAGAGTCCTTGGTTCCTTATAGTGAAGAATGGTGTTTAGGAATCAAGTCTGAATACCAAGCGTGCTTCTTGCTGTAGGGGTTTTCTGCTTCTGGGCCCTCAGAGAGCAGAACTAGAGAACAGAATATCAGTATATGCATGCACGTCTATGTATGTAAACCTATATTTATTTCTGTGTCTGTGTATTTTGAAAACCATGAGTTCATAGCATAACTATTCCAACCCAGAGTTCATTGTAGATTTTTCTTCACTCAGAGTTTTAAATCTGTTCTCTACTAGTGATAAGCTTGGTTCATCCTGTCCTTGAAGCTGTGTTACTGGAGTAATCTTCTGTAACCAATCTCCTGATTGCTGCTATCTTCTCACTTCATATGGCAAGGATAGCTACCCTGCTTAACTTCATCTAATGATAAATTCATCTAATTCATAAATCATGAAAAAAAGTTCAATTTTTTTATGGTGTAGTAAAGAAAAGCAGACAAATTTGTTTATGGTATACTACTTTGGGTTAATTTGCTTCCTCTATTCTTAGTTTTAATTAGAAACCTATGAGCTCCAAATTAATACTGATTTTTTTATTATTGATGATTTTGCCTTTCTATATAACAAGATATTTGTAAGAGATATTTTAAAAGTTAAATTTAACGAAGCATTTTATGCTGTTTTAACTCTAGTCTTAGTTGTCATTAATATGTTATAAAAAGATAATGAGTTGGGCAGGCAATTGGAAATGCTCTGTACAATGACTTTTTACTTCAAGGCATGTAATCAGTTTTGAATGAATTGCTTTTGTGATACAGAAGTAATACAGAAGTATTCCATAGCTTAGGGAGAACAATGAGAAATGTTTAATGTTTTTAAAGTAGTTCTACTCTGAGTCACCACACTCTTGAGATCTTTTCATTGAACATTATTTATGAAAGAGATATGCCACAGTGTAAATGAATTCCAGAAATCTCGAGTAGTTATTTTGTATGTGAAGATAATGTATATAATGACATTTTATTTGGAAATTATCTAGGTGTGTTGATTAATTTTAAAATGTTAAAGAAATACAAAGTTCTTTTAGTGATTAAAATACTCACTGAAGGGAATATTTGTCTGATAGACTGTTAGGAGAGAAAAAGAGGAATAAAGAAAATATACCTAATATAAACCAGGAAAGAAGGAATGGGTAACAACAACAAAAACAACAAGGTAAATAAAAACTGTGAAATAATCATATAGCAATAAAACAAATATATATCAGTAATGTCAAAAAAGTAGATGGGTTAATTATACCATGATGAAACAGACATTCAGATCCAGATCCTATAATTTCTTTTTAAAGAGACATAACTAAAACTAAATGACATAGAAATAATTAATGAATGTACAAAGATGCACCAGTCAAATGGTACCAAAAAGAAGGCTGGAGTAACAGTAGCTTCTGAGACCAAAAAGGGGAAAAAGTGAATAAAATAGGATAATTTTTAAGTGATAAAGGAGTAATCTGCCAACACAAGTGGCTACACCATAAAAATACAGTTTCGAAATACAGCAAATGATGGAGAAAATAGAGAAAGCATAGAATATGTGAAGCAGGTTCAAAGAGACTACCAGGAAACTAAAAACTCTATCGAAAACTGGCATAACAGCTTGAAAGAAACTAAGGACAGACTATCTGAACTGGAGGGCAGATTTGTAATATGGGAGATTGAAATGAAAAACTTCTTAAAAGTAACAAAGAAACAAACAGCAATAATACAAAGACTAGAAGATGATAAGAGGATCCATAACTTAAGAATTAAGAACATAAAAGAAGAAGTAGGGACACAAACAAATGAACTACAAAAGCTACTCACAGAAATAATCCAGGAGAATTTTCCTAATTTAGCAAAAGGTAAAGATACTCAGTTGTATGAAGCATACAGGACCCCGGCCACCTACAACCCAAACAGAGCAACACCCAGGCATATAATAATTAAAATTCCAGAAATTCAATACAAGAACAGAATATTAAAAGCTGTCAGAGACAAGAAACAGACCACTTACAAGGGAACACCCATCAGAATTACAGCAGATTTCTCTGCACAAACCATAAATCACGAAGAGCGTGGGGGGAAATAATTCAAGCTTTGAAAGATAATAATCTCCAGCCAAGATTGATATATCCTGCACAACTATCCCTGGAAATTGATGGAAAAACAAGGTGCTTCCAGGATAAAGAGGAACTAGGGGAATATGCAACCACCAATTCAACTCTACAGAGAATACAGCAGGATAATCTAAAAAAGAAAAATACAAAGAATCCAGAAATAGTGGCAGAGAGGCCACAATGAATGGAGCAGAAAACAAAATGAAGAAGACAAACTGACAACTAATGACAGAAAAAGAGCTCAACAGAAATGAGGCAGAGAAGATTGGATGATAGGAACAGCTATTTTGGAGAAAATGACGTCTTAATAGGTAATACTGATTTAGTATCATCTTGTTTTGAAGTCTCATCAAGCTTTTGTTCTTCTGTCTCCATTGGTCTAAACAGGTTGTATATTATTGGATTTTATTATGTATGATAGTATAAGCAAAAACTTTTAAAGACAAGGAGATTATACAGAAACCATTGTTCATTTTCTGTTAGTTGATTCTAAATACCCTGTAATGCTGTCATTCTCTTAAATGGTTTTACATTGTTTTGATATATTTGATGCTGCAGTATACGAAGTTATACTGAAAGATTTCAAGGAAAGAGATAATATGGTAACTACTTTTATGTCAGGATTATCTTGTGAAACACTATTTTGCTTAAATGGTTATGTTTTGATCTGCGCTGTTTTGCTGTTATGCCCTCTTTTATCTCAATCTCCACTTCATTATTTACTTTTTTATTTTTATCCTTTTAATTAAGGGAAAAATAAATAAAAAATAGCAGGATATATTATAGTAACCCACTTTGACTGTCTATTATCTTGATTTAAAGCCCTGTATTACTCTCACCATCATGTTTTTGACTGATGTCCCCTATTCTGTTTTGCTTGATAGTACCAGGTTCGAAAGTTTAAGCAACAGCTGTGAAGATAGTGAGATTCATTATGACACCCATTCTCGTTGACTATTATCTACTTTTGAAGACCTATAATGTCTCCAATGTTTTGGTTTTGTCGGTTTTGTTCTTTACTGTTTTGTTCAATTTTATTATAACTGATGATATAGGCAATTCTATTAGAGATAGCGGGAGGCATTATGGTAACCATTGTTGATCACCTTGTATTATGCTTTTGCATTATCTATTATGCCCACCCTTTTGATTTGATTGACTCTGTTCTGTTATGTCACATTTGGTTCTACTCCCTTCCAAAAAAGTAATAAGAACTGTGGGAGCAACAAAACCCAAAATGTGTAATTGTCATTGTACAAAAGAGAGGAAAAGAAAGTGCTCTAGACGATATAACTGCATGTATATTTAAGTGTATAAGATAGATAATGGTATC